TATATATATTCACATTTTATATTTTTCTTATGTGATACTACTTTGAATATTCGTATAAACCCTGCTAAAATGGAGCCGTGCAAAATGAGACGGCGTTTCTTTAGTGGCCGTCCGAAGGAAGACATTATGATTCCGCGCGTTTTCCAATTTTTTTTTTTATTTGATTTTTATTTTATCTACCATTTTATATTTTTATTCTCATAGTTCCTTCGCGTATTTTCCTTTCCTTTCTCGTTTTTTCTTTTTTTTTTTTGTTTTTCTTTTATTCAGTTAAATAAATTTATTAGATAAATAAAAAAAAAAAAATCATAAAAAAAGAAAAATAAATTGAAAACAAATCGGTCATAGTTTCTCCTCAACACGGCCACCATATTTATTTGTTTAATTATTTTTCTTTCCTTTCTTATTAATTTTTCTACATCACGAATAAAATTCTCGCCTTTCAAGTTAAACGGCCGTAAATTTTCTCATAGAGAAAATGTGTATTACATTTATGATGTATGTTGCATGTAAGTATTAAATATTTATGTATTTATGCACAACGTATTTTTTTTTTGGTTATGAACAAATAAATAATATCTGTACGCGTTAAAATATTGACTGACTTGTGCTTGTAAATGTTACGGGTAATATATATTATATAATATATATATATATTTTTTATCTCGTTAAGAAACACAAAGATAAATGTAATCAAATATTTTGTAATCACTGAGAATCACGTGGCTATTATTAGTCATCATATTTTCAAAATTTCAACAACTTTTCAATCTCTTATTATCTTTATCTCATACACAAGTAAACAAAAAATGACAATTCTATTGTCTTTTTTTCTCAATTTTTCTTCTTCTTCTTCTTCTTCTTCTTTTTACAATATTATTATATTATAAACAAAATTGTACATCTACGAAAACAAAGATAAATCATTCGAATTGAAAAATGATGTCTTTTTACTTTCCTTTGTAAAGGTTTGAGTTTACTTCTTTAACAACTTCTCATTCTTATTCAATACTACCCATCCAGGAGGTCGCATTTTTTACCACTTTTTTTTTCTGGAATCAACAGCACACGGTTTTTTTTCAAACAAGTCACTCATTCACATTTTACTAACCGTGCCCACGTTGCTAGACTTTTAAATGATCTGTTGGAAACTAGTAATCCAACGTGGCTTGGCCGTTGACATTATACTAATTTCATAATTATTCACTTTATGTATTATCGAATTGTTTTAAAATTCTAATTATGCCATTTTCTTTAGATTTTTTTTTTTTTTTTTAATAGAAAATGACATTAACAATTTGTCATATTTTAATTATCATATATAATCATTGAAATTCATTCTAATTTTATCTTCCTCTTTCAATTCTATAGAGAAGATTACTTTAACAATTTATTATATAAATTATAGTCACGCAAATGTTATTAACATTGTTTGTACAATTTAGATGTACGCTTCATCATAGTTCAATAAAAGATGTCTATGTTTATTTGACTATGTGCGTGTGCGTGCAGGTGTGTGTATATTTTTTTTTATCGTTCTTTTATCTTTCTTTCTCATTTAATCTGACGAGAGTTCGAAAGTTTCATATGAATTTTTAAAGAAACAAACATTAGTTACAAGCTTTCTCTTTCTTTCTTTCTCTCTCTCTCTCTCTTTCTCTTTCTCTTTATGTGCAGTAACAGTACAATCTGATCAATGAATTATTATTACTAATAGAAAAATTCTAATAACAAAAACAAACATACATTATTATGTATTATTAAACATGAATTAATAGAAATTATATAACGGTTTTATATTATTATTCGTGACTAGTGACAATGAACGTAACATTTGTAAAAATAATGAAACGTGTAAAAAATAATTTAGCAATCAACTTTTTCTCCCCCTCCCTCTCTTTCTCTCACCCTTCCGTTTTTTCTTCACATACGTATATTACATATATGTATGTATGTATATAAATAACTTGTGCATATCAGCGATAAATGTTTGAACAATATTTTCAACGATAACAACAAAAGATGTTTCATTAACTCTATCAAGATTATTTTAATTAACTAATATAAAAATTATTGTTTGCACAAGAGTTAATGTTTAAACAATTAATTAACCCCTTAAGTAGCACGCTCGAGTTAACTCAAGCGGCGTTGTATTACGTTGAGCCAAAATTGTTCCTTAAGGTGTTAATTATTTATTAATTATAACAAAAATAATAATAATAATAATAATAATAATATTAATTAATAATTAGAACAAAAAAAAGAAACGATACAAGTTTTATCGCTGTTGTTGTCCTTGAACGATATAACGGAATCGTCCGTATCGTAAAAAACGTTTAATATCACTCGTATAGTTTATTTATAAGGTACTATCGAGGAAAGACTGACGGCTAATTTTTCTTTCACCCGTCGGAAAATAATCTAACTAAAGCGCAAATTATTGAAAAAAAAAAAAAAAAGAAAATTAAGTAGAGAAAGGAGTAAGCAATTGAAGATTTTTCTTTCTCTTTCTCTTTCTCTTTCTCTTTATCACTTTCTTCATATATATGCAAATATCTTTGATATCAATTGATATTAAATATGATTATTTCCTGACGATTTCAACAAATTTTTGTTTACGTCTTCTATTATCCCTCTTTCTTTATCTTTATTACTTTCTCTTTCTTCTCGAGATTGTATCTATAAATTATACGAATAGAAAATAATAGAAATAATATTTTAACGTACAATCTCCAATTAGTGTAAATACGATGACATTAAAATGACAACGAAACAAGAAGATTGAGTAAAAGTAATAATAATTGTTCTCTTTATCTCAAAAACATCGTATTTAACTAACAAAAAATAAACAACAAGTAATAATTAAGATTTGGTTAACTAAACATTCAGATTAATTATCTGTAATGATGACTAGATAAAAAAAAAAGAAGATTAAAATCGACCGATTAATGCTTCCTTCTTTCATAGCATTTTTTTAAAAGTCGATATACAAGGTTGATGAAAAATTTCCATTGATTTTTCACAACCCTTTCATTTTTCTTCTTCTTCCATTTTTTCTTCCTTCACTTCTTCGTCGATCGACAACATTCGAAAATACAATCCAATTTAAGGACGAGTCGGATGTGTCGAATAAAATCATAATCTCGATGAATTAATCATCTTTTAATTTGTCTTATTCGTTCGACATCAATTGAACGCTATCATCAGCTGATCTGTGAAGTCGACGTACCTCCGAAAAACTTCTTATCGGAGTTGGGTGTAACAGGGAGAAAGTATGCGAGTGACGATCTGAAACAAATGTAAAAAAAAAAAAGACAAAAAAAATTGAATTAATTAATATATTAAATGATTATTATTATTTTCTCTTTACAATCTTCGAAAGGTAAGTATTTTTGTATATATAAAAATTATACAGGGTAACAGAAACAAAGTATGAGAGAGAGAGAGAGAGATATATTTTGAGGACTTATAGTGTTCACCATGACGAGTAAAAAATGTTTAATTAATATGGAATTCTAAAATAATTATTTTCAGCTTAAAATTAATAAATTAAAATTATAAATTACCTGAACGGTAAAATTTAATTATAATAAATTTAAAAATAAAATTAACTTTTATTATATTATTTATCATGCTAAATAAATATTTACTACAAATTTGTAATATTAAAATCTTCAAAATAATTTTTATTAATCTTGGTAATAATTAAACATAATAAATAAATGTATTATAAATTACTTTTATTATTATTTTGTATAATACGAAATACAAGTATTTCTCTTATCCCCTTTCTTTCACTTTATCTTTCTTTCTCCCTCTTTAATATTTACAACTTTATAATATTAAAATCTACAAAATAATTTTTATTAATCTTGGTAATAATTAAACATAATAAATAAATGTATTATAAATTACTTTTATTATTATTTCGTATAATTCAAACTAAAAGTATTTTTCTCACCCTTCTCCATTACTTTATCTTTCTCTTTACGTAGACAAAATATCATAAGATAATAACAATTTTCGATAAAAAAAAAAAAAAAAAAAATAAAATAAAGAATGTATGATAATGTTCGATAAAAGAAAAACGTTCATATCAGATATGAATCTGAAATTGATAGAAGAAAACGATTAAGAATGGTATATCTTTTTTCGCAAATGGTATCTCGTTCGGAAAAGAGTAAAACCGATCGAAGAAGCAAAGTTTAAAAGGTGGTGAAAAGTCAATGTGGATGAAAATGGAAAGGATATGACCCCAAGATGACATCAAGAACATATATTTACTTAAATACGTATCGACTAATCGTTTATACGGTTTTAAAAATAAATATACAAAAGAACAAGAAAGAGAGAGAGAGAGAGAGAAATAGAGATGTAATATTTATTTATATAAAGCAGACAATTAAAAAAAGGAGAGGAACACACACACTTTCGTTTTATTTAAATAATACATAACACAACTATAAACAACGAGAAGGTCACGGATATATCATCTTTTTACGTCATTGTAATAAAATTTTGATGGCATTTCACAAAAACTCGCCCCCGAGTTTTATAATCTGTTTTTAGATAATCCGCATTTAAAGGAGATAATGATTCCAGTGATCGGCCGATAATATCAAAGGGAAGAACTTTTTCCTGCATCGTATGATTAATAAATCATATTTTTGAAACGATGAATCATACTGATATCATACTATCACTATACTTATACGTAAACATACACATACACACATACGAAGAAAAACTTTGTCATATTTTTTTCATAAAAGAATAGAACAACAAAAATAAAGAAATAGAATTTAATAATAAATCGTTATCAGAAACATTTTAAGAAGATTAAATCGAACATTTTTCTATAACCTAAAAAAAAAAAAGAAAAACTCTCTCTTTCTTCTTTATTTTATTTTTGTTAATTTTTTTTTTTTTTTTTTTTTTTTTTTTTAAAGCTCACCTCTTATATCCGTAGAAGGTTCACTCCTCGAAAGCTCTTGCTCGTTTCCCCTATGAGTTCCACAATTTTGATTATGTCGGGAAAAATCAAACGCCGTTGAATGTGGCCAGGAGGCAGGGGGTGGACTACGAACTAGGTGCTCGTGTACTTGGGCCAGGGTCAAAGGGTCCGTGTCGCAAAATTCCTGAAATTTATTTATAAGAGGATCGTGTTATAAATACTTTTAATTACAAAATAAAAAAGTAGTGGAACGTGCAAATGGGATTTCTTTTTTTATATATATATTTTTTTTTTATTATAAACCTCAAACACATAAAGGTTGCTTTTTAACAATACGAACAATTCGTTTATTTTTTGGTTGGTTTGTTTGTTTTCCAATGGAAATAGGAACGTTATCGTAATCACATTTTCAATTATTTATTTCAATAAAAATAGGTCAGTCTATTTTCTCCAGAGATTTCAAGATCACCTTTGTATTTTATACGTCGACGTTCTTTTCAACGATGTCCTATATATATATATATATATATTTATATCTAAATCTTTACAAGTATGTACTTACTTGAGACATAAGATTCGCATCGTCCGATTCTGATTCTCCGATCGATTCGACAAGACTCTCGCGACTGGCCAATACCTGAACACGAGAAAAGATAAAGGTGAGAAGAAGAAAAAACTGCAATAATAAAGGTAACCAAAAATAACAAACTATCATCTATCCTTTTATTATCTTTCTTAATAATTTTTATACTATTACTGTAAAAAGAAACGTAAGATAGGAAAAAAGCAAAAAGCAAAACAAGAAAAGTGATAAAGTTGAAAATAACAAATATATTCACGATTTTATATTATTTTTTCAATATCTTTATAATGTTACTGTTAATGTTACTTGGCATTATTTGGATGTAAATATTTAAATAAAGCAAAGTATAAAAATAAAATGAAAAAAGATAAAAAAAAGTAATGCAATTAAAAATGTAATCAAAAATAACAAACTATCATCTATCCTTTTGTTATCTTTCTTAATAATTTTTATACTATTACTGTTAAAAGAGACGTAAGATAGGGAAAAAACCAAAAAACAAAAAAAAGTAACAAAGTTGAAAATAACAAATATAACCACGATTTTATATTGTTTTTTAAATATCGTTAGTTACTTGGCATTATTTGCATGTTAATACCTAAATAAAAGCAAAGTAAAAAAGTAAAGAAAAAAAAAAAAAGAAAAAAGATAAAAAAGTAATGAAATTAAAAATAAATCATCCCTCTTTAGAAGTAGAGGGTACTTTTTTTTTATTTTATATTGTCCCACACACTATTATTATCAATAATTTAACATAAATTGTATATATCTCATCATGTTTGTTCAATTATTTCCTTATTAATGTAATTTAAATTTTATTTATTATAATTATCATATTGCATAATATTTAAAGATAATTTTTTATATGATAATGAAGAAGTAACATTTGAAGAAAAAATAAAAAGAACATGATCCTTTCAAAATTCTAACCTGAAGATATGGATTGTCTTGACGACTGAGCCTGATTGCCTCCATATCCTGATCGATGTTTCGCGTTCTACCTGGTGTCGAGGTCAAAAAAGAGTGTGACGGTGAGGGCTGACAAGCAACGTCGACGTCGACGGCAGTGACGCTCAAGGTCGACGGAATCCTCGACACGGCATTGTCGTTCTCGTTTCCCCCTCGTCGGCACGTGTTTGCGATAATGGCTAAAGGTACATATATTACATTTCGTATATATGTATTACTAATATATAACCTTATATATATACTTATACATATATATATATATTACATATACGCGTATGTATGCGTTTAGCTGCATTGATTTGGTGCTCCGATAAAACGAAGCACGAAATATCTTTACATAGAACGAACAACTTCTCTCCCTCCCTTGGTCATTATTTGTTATTAATATTTATGTAATGCGAGTTGAAATATGGAACTAGGTAATAGTGGCTCTCTCCATCGTCATTGAATGGATAATTAGAATTCGTTAAATACTTCTTTCAAAACAAAATTCAATTATTCATTATATTCGTTCAATGTAAAGTACATTTTATTATTAATTGTTCTTCTATATGTAATATACATATATATATCTATATATTAGGTCGTTCCAAAAGTTTCTTCTTTATTTTTTAGTAATTTTATGGGCACAATATTTTTTAAATTGAATAATTTAAAGTATAGAAAAAGGTATAATAAATAGAATCGATATTATTTAGTAAAATAACATAAAAAATATTACGCATGCAATATTGTTTAACTTATCATCAAAAAAGGAAAGAAATTTTAGGGACAATCTAATACATATAAAAGGTATTCCATGTAAAATTATATAAATTAATTTTCTTAATGTATATATAAAATTGTTAATTAATTAAGATGCAGAAATGATGGATTTCAGATCGTAATTAAGAGAAGTATATATTGAAAAAATTGTTTTTCTCAATTTATTATCATAAAATGAAATTAATTAAAAATAAATAAATATATCCTTTTTTTTTTTCAAAGTATATAGATATAATTATATATAATTTATTAAAGATAATTATATATAATTTATATTATAATTATATTTATATTAATTTATATTAATTATATATATATAATTCCTCTTATTAAATCAATGTCAATAAAAACAAATAATATATTATATAAGTGTAATATTTATATATACTTTTTTCAATTAAAAAATAACCAGATATTTTACTTCATTTGGAAACCTTGTTTGGTAGACTATTTGATATATATATATATATAAATCAGAGGTAAAACATACCAGGTGACTCAATCCTAGGAGAACGTTCCATTTCTTCGTCTTCGTTAATCTTCATCCCTAAGTTGAGTTTTCTTGACTTAAAGAGGTTCGTTAGAAAGGCGGTACCCTTGCGCTTTACACGGTCGTATCGGTGCGCGTTCTCTGCCGACACGTGTATCATAATTTACCTGGAAATTAATAATGTTCCCGAGTATCGATTAATTAGAAACTCGTAGAAGCGTGTTTTATAGGAAAGAGGAAACCTATATTTCTCAAGCTAGACAAAGTGTTACTACTATTATTACTAATCAAAATGAAACTGATGTTTTTCTACTTTGTCCACTTTATTACGAACTTCGATACTTCATTTATTTTCAAATAAAACTATTGTTTCGTTATTATTTTATTGTAATCAATATAATTTGATGAATATAAGTAAATTAATTGCCAATAAATTTGTTATCTAATATATAAATTGTTTATATAATAAAAACAAATAAAAGATCAAGACAATTAGAAATAAAAAAAAAAATGAAGAAGAAAATAGCTACTCGATTCGAATTTATTAGCAGTTGAGCAGAATAAAAAAAAAAAAAAGCAACCCTTCTGAAGGTCGACACCCGTATCTTTGTCGAGTGGCTGTTACAGTGGAATTAAGTGGCGGTGCTCGTTATGCCGAATGAGAAAGAAAAGTAGGAAAAATGCGAAGATACCGTAAGGACTTAAGTATGTATTATATATATAGAGAGAGAGAGAGATTTCTTTCACAAAAATAAACTTTTCTATAATTCTCTTTTTATCTTTCCATCTTTTTTTTCGTAATTGAAAAAAATGTTTGTTTCACAAAGCTGAACAAAACCTTATTAAAGATAAACGTAAACACGTGTACCGATAATAATCGATCGATCTTCATTATACAACGTACTTATAAATTTATTTTATATATATATATATATATGCATATATGTAGAAATTTATGTGCATGAATTTATCGACCATAATTGATTAAAAGTCGATTAAAAATGTAGTTTTTTATATATAGAAATATAATCGAATTTTAAATCATTTATAATTTATAACATATATATTTATAATTTGCATATGTCTATATATAAATAAAAAAATTTATATATAAAATAGAAAGAAGAAAAAAAGAATATAATAATAGATCAAATAAATCAATTACAATTCAATCAAATGAATTAATCTCTTGTATTATAATTTGCATGTATCTATATATAAATAAAAAAATTGTACATATATAAAATAAAAATAAGAAAAGAAATATAATAATAGATAAAATATATCAATTAAAATCCAATTAATGAAATTAATTTCTTATTTTTGTTTTCTATCTCTCTTTTTTTTTTCACGTACCTTTATTCACAATTGATTTTCAAAAAAAAAGACTCACGTGTATCGTTATCAATCACGTGTCTCGACTTTTTCATTTTGCGATACGCTAATTAAGTAGCCCGCGTTTCTACCGGTTAAACGTGTTCCATATGTAAACCCTACATATATACACACTTATATAAATATATATATATATATAATTGTCCTTTGTTCAATTCAACTTCAGATAATGGAATTCTAATGATGGTTGTTGGTACGTTGTCCTCGTTTTCATCGTTTTCAAGGTATATAAAAATGTTAATTTTGACCGAAATGTATGATCACGATCCGTTGGGATCGTCTTGCGAACTGTAGCTGCGGAAGGGTGTGCTCCTCCGGCTAGTTTTCGGACATTGCGCAGTTGCAACTGACACATAGAGTACCGGCGAGCCAGGTAAAGTATAGGAGAAGGAAGGTGGTATCAAAAATTGGAATGAAAAAGAAAATAATAGATATATGTGCCCATAATTATGAATGTGGTCTAAGTCAAAATTAAAAAAAAAAAAAAAAAAANTAGTTTTCGGACATTGCGCAGTTGCAACTGACACATAGAGTACCGGCGAGCCAGGTAAAGTATAGGAGAAGGAAGGTGGTATCAAAAATTGGAATAATAAATAAAAATATAGATATATGTGCCCATAATTATGAATGTGGTCTAAGTAAAAAAAAAAAAAAAAAAACAAATGAGTTTATCAGTTATTACGCATCACACATTATTTTAAACTAAATAAATTCAATGAAATTTGACCACGATATTGTTAAAAATGAATCGTTAGATAATATTTGTTATTTCAATATTATATAGAATTCATATAATGTTCAAATATAAATCTTTAAATATCTCGAAACAAGAGATACATAATTTAGACCACTTTCATAATTATGGGCATATACATATATATATGTAAGCACGTACCTATATCTAAATTTGTGCGAGAGAGAATAAGAAAGATAACATGAATGAAAGAAAGAAAAAGAAAGAGAGAGAATAAGAGAGAGGGTAGGGTGAAGAAATGCAAAATTTGTATATATCTCAAAAGAAAAAGAATAAGTGTGTGTGAGAGAGAGAGAGAGAGAGAGAGAGAGAGAGAAAAAGATTGCATGAAAAATGAAAGAGTTGTGGTGGTATATTTGTGATAAGAAAAAAAAAGAATGGAAAAGTAAGATTTATATATGAGATTGAAACAAAAAAAATAGAGAGAGAGAGAGAGAGAGAAAGAAAAATATAAGATTAATGTATATACGTGAGAATAATAGAGAGAATAAAAAAGCACATAAGATTATGCGTATAAGAATTTCTATCTGAGAAAGATATATATATATATACTATATACTATACTTAGTATATTTACTTATAATAGTTATTTAATATATTACTTATAATACTTAGTATAATTACTTAGTATAATTACTTAGTATAATTACTTAGTATATTATAGTATTATTACTATATATACATACTATACTTAGATATATATATATATATATGTGTATGTATGTGAGAGGGAGAGAGATAGAAATAAAAAAAGGAAATTAAGATATTTGATATTTCCGTGAGCAGAAAAAAGAGAGAGAGAAAGAGATAAAAAAGAGATATTAAAAATGTGTACTTATGTATGTGTGTGAGTAAAAAAAAAAAAGAAAAAAAATCTGTGAGACGTGTATATGTATACACTAATGTTAGAGAGTGAAAGAGGCAAAGATATATATATATATATATATATATATATATAGAGAGAGAGAGAGAGGGTGAATATAAGGGTTGGAATGAAGAAAGGTAAGAAGGGTGATACGGTCGGTGCCAAGTGTTTTAGAGTGCCGTGAAGTTGAGACTCTCAAAGGCTTTTTCGGACGTACATATGTATGTATACGTATTATACGTATGTATCTCTTCGTGACCTACATTGTCTACGTTTTCAAGAAACTCAACGACTTCTTATTCTTCGATGATAAGTAACTCTTGGAATACCGTTAAGTCTTATATCTCCTTCTCTATCTCTATTTCTCTCTCTCTCTCTTTCTCTTTTTAATATCGAAAACTGTTAAAGATAATTAATCGTTCGAATGTTCGATCTTATTAAACTTTTCAAAATAATATGTTAATTATTTAACGAAACATTCGTGCAAAACTTGTAGATTTGTTTTATTTAACACTAGAACTACCACATTAGTCATTTTGGTATCAAAAATATTTTGATACCAAATATTTTTCATTATTGTACTTATTGTTATTATATTGTTTATAAGATTTCAGAACATGGTGTTCCTTTTGTAAAATAACAATAAGTCAATAAAAATAAAAATATTCTACTTTTATCATGCAAAATTTGTAGATTTGTTTTATTTAACACTAAAACTATCACACTAGTCATTTTGATTGGTTGGTTGATCTTTAATTTGATTTGGTATGAAGAATATTTTGATACTAAATATTCTTCATTATTTTATTTTATAATTTATTTTAATATTATATTTATTATTAATATATTATAATATAGTTATACTATATAGTTTGTTATATTATACTATACAACACAGTTATAATATACGTTTAACGATAAACTTAATATTAATAATATATATATAAATTACTAATAAACTAATAAACGACTAATAATCTGTTATTAATATAATATACAATACAATTATATTATATTAAATATATTATAATATATTAAGTTATTATTTTATAATTGTTATTATATAGTTTTTAAGATCTCAGAACATGGTGTTCCTTTTTTGTAAAATAACAATAAGTCAATAAATATCAAAATATTCTACTTTTACTTCTTTTTTAAAAACCAAAGACAATCATTTTGACTAGTTTTGGTAGAGATAGCTAAGTCTCAACTGTTGGTAATTCTAGTGTTAAATTAATATTAAGTTAATCAATAAATTGTTCATTTTTTTAACAGCTATGAAAATATTTGAACGTTCGAATTTTCGATCGTATTAAACTTTTCAAACTAATATGCTAATTATTTAACGAAACATTCGTACAAAACTTGTAGATTTGTTTTTATTTGAATTAATATTAAGTTTATGAAAAAAATAATTCATTTTTTAACAGCTATGAAAATATTTTCATTTACGATTAGATAAATACAAGAGTTTCTTTTGAAATAGGGTGAACTAAATTTTGTTGGAGTATATAAAACGTGTAATAGATTACATTACAGATATACAGTGATAAATTATCTAAATTAAAATAAAGAAAAAAATGAAATTCATCGAAAAGTTTACTTTGTATTACGTCAATAATTATTAATAGTTAAATACAAAAACTTATTACTTAAAATAAAATATATATTCAAGATTAAGTAGATTATTATGGTAGATTATTATCGAGACTAAGTATTAAAAAAAAAAAAAAATAAAAAAAAAACAGTTAAATGAAAACAATAAAAATTCTTTTAATTTTTTAATATTAATTATCATTGCGATCTAAATTCGTGAAAAAATCATTCATGCATAAATTCTATCGTAAACACGAAAGGAAAAAATAAAGAGAGAGAGAGAGAGAGAGAGAGAGAGATAGATAGAAAACATTAGAATCTAGAAAAAGGCAAAATACAAATTTGCATGCACGCGTTACAACAACTATTCGGAATGAACACGTCAGATCGATCGTTCTGATCATTTACGAGTCACGTAATCGTTTTAACCCTGTATAATAAAAGAACTTAGAAGTTTCAAACAAAAAGACTAGAGAGAGAATATGTTATTACTCTATCTATATGCAGTTGTTATCAACCCCACCCAGAAAAGAAAAGAAAAAGAAATATAAAAAGAAAACAATCTAAAACAAACTAAACAAAATGAACGATTTATTATTTAAAAAACAAAAAATATATATATATATATAAACACACAAACAAACAAACAAACAAAAAATAAAATCTATTCGAAGAGAATGAAGAAAATTTAAGGAAAGAAAATGAAGATTTAACGAGATAGTTCACAAGTAAGTAATATCCCTGAGTAATTTTCCACGAGCATGCCATTTGATATCGTCCTATCCGAGTTTGCTTATACGATCGATCGAATATACTCGTCCGTTCGAGAAAGCGAGAAAGAAAGAGAGTTAGTCTACACGAGGGAAGAAGCACGTCGAGTCGAGTATTTCAGCCCTCTCGTCACACCTACTACTACAACCAACAGTACTATATTCACATACATAAATACATATACATATAAATATACATAACGACAGAGTCATACACACACATATATATATATATATATATATATGCATATCACACAAGAAAGAAACACCTACAGCTCCACCACGCGAGTTATTCGAAGAAAGGGTTCACGCACCTGTCGACGATGGTCCATCGTCTTTGCTCACAATTGGACTAATTAATGTTCACCTTTTTACTTTATTTTTTTTTTCTTTTTCTTATTTAAATCTTGATTTAAAATCTTCCGTAGTGTTAGTTTTAATTAGACAACGTTCAAAAAGACAACTTTGAAAAAAAGGAAAAAGTTTGTCTCTGATAAAAAGAAAGACAGAGAGTGAAAGAGAGTGACAGAGTGAGAGAGAGAAAGAGAAAGAAAATAAATCACGATAATAAATATATACAAACTCGTTGTAAACACGAGCAGGAAAATAGAAAAAAATTCATTCGCGTTCTCACGAACGTTCGAATCCGTGACAGTCCGCGAAACGCTCTAGGAGAGAGTCTCCGGGTTTTCTGCTGATCCTCCTTCCTTCCTTTCCTTGAGAGGGAAAGGGGTAGTGGGTGTATGAAGTGCGGACGAAACGCGTTCCGCGCAAGCTCGGCTCCGTGGCGACCCTTCCCTTCCCTTACCTTCCCTTCCTTCGACCGCGCATCTACAAAACCCTCTGTGCGTTTTTCTTATTATCGCATAACTCTTTATTATTATTATTATTATATTATTATTATTATTATTATTATTAATGCGTTTCGCGTGGATGCGTATAATTCACAGCTTAGGAAGACATTTTTCTCTTTTTTGTTTCCTTTTCGTTTTGTTTCATCACTTTTTTCTTCTCTATCTATCTGCTGTTTATTTTCGTGTTAAACAACGATTAAACTTTTAATATATTCTCGAGTATGCGTACACATGAAATTTACAGAATGACGACGGTACATTGTACTCTCGTTGAAAAAGAAATAAAATGCTGCTATTCATATACCTGTGTTTCGTTATTTTTTTTTTTAATGAGTTATGTTTTTGTTGTGTTAACACAATATGTATAAATATATATATATAAACAAGTATTTATGAGTAAGTACTATTTTTCTTTTTTTGTTTTTTTTTCAAAAACTAATTACGTGGTTTTTATCCTATGTATGTGTATCGTATTTTTGTTGTAAAATTATTTATATTATATCAATTAATCGTAAAAGTTAACTAATTTTTGTACACGTAAATACGTAAGTAAATTTTATATGTATTTATGTATGTATGTATACAAATAATAATTAATTATGTATATATGTAATTAATATTGTATGTATTACACACATATAGTATTATATTATATAATATTATATATATATATAAAAATATAATATACATACATACATATATATATATAATACTAAAATTATATATTATATTAATATAATATATAATAGTAATTAATAAAGTAAATAATAAATATATATATAATATATAAGTAATTAATATAATATAATATATAAATATAATATGTATATAATATAATATAAGCATATAATATAAATATAAAATAAAGTATATATAATAAGTAAAGTAAAAGTATATAATAAGTAAGTAAAGTATATAATAAATAAAGTATATAATATAATATTATATTATATATATTCATATACTTACGTAAGTTCGATTAAAATGAACAATTTTTCGTATATACGTATTAAACTTGGGAAGAATTGTTTTAGAGAAATTTTGAAATATACGTTTTCACTTTTCAAAATGTTTAATAGTAAAAAAGATAATATATACAATCTCAGAAAAATTCTTATACATTACATTATTGTAACCGTAGACACTGGTGCGACGAACGAAAGACTCGGTCGTCGAGTAACGAAATAAGCGATTGAATTTTAAATAATTTTTTTTTCTTTTCTTTTCTTTTCTTTCTCTCTCTCTCTCTCTCTTTCTCTATTTCACATTCTTATCGCCGTGCTAAATTCTATTTTTTTCAGCATGTCAATTTATTCAGACGTCGTCAATTTTCGGAATAGTAAAATTTCGTTTATCATAATATATGCTGTTTTTTTTTTTTTTTTTTAAGCTTCTTCCTCTTTTTTTTTCTTTTTCTTTTTAAATCTGATAACGTTACGCACAAAATATAAGAGAAAAAATAACATTTTAGCAAGATAAACGATAATTCATGTGTAGCAATTTCGTAAGAAAATTTCAATCTCTTTTCGTTTTTTTTTTTTTCACATAACATTATTTTTTTTTCTTTTTTTTTTTTTCATTCGACTTATTTTCTCATTTCTGAATATTATTTTCATCTTCTTGTCAATTTATTAGTAAACACTGTTTGTGTATCTCATGGCCAAACGACTCCCCTTGATCGTTGATCTTGGAATCATATAATATTATTGTATATATATCGAGGATACATATATATCTACATATTTCTCCTCATATTTTTTCTCCCCACACATACATTATTTGTCGTGGAGTTTAAACAAAAAAAAACAAAAACAAAAAATGAACACGTACTATCAGGAAAGTCTTACACTTTTGTCGAGCGAATACAAAAAAAACTACAAATGTTCTTTTTAATCGACAAGTAAATAAAAATGTAGTATACTATTCTTTTTTTAAGTACTTGTCACCATAACGACGACGATGACGACGACGATGACGATGACGATGACGACGAGGGCGTGAGCCATGCTTGAAAATAATTAAATGAACTTTGACTTTAAAAAAAAAAAAAAACAAATAGAAAAAATTTCAACATTTTACTAACGACGACGATTCTCTACGAAAAGCGCTCGACATAAAGTGCAGTACATATGTATGTATGTATGTATGTATGTATGTATGTATACGGTAGGTATATTGTATATAGGAACACCTCACGAGAGGTTGGCGTGTTTGTTATATTTAACAAAACGAAAAATATATATATATATATTTTTAAAAAGAATTTTTTAAAAATGGAAAAAAAATAAAGAACAAACAAATGTTCTCGATTGTTTTCCTCTTCTACGACACAACACACACTTTGCGAATGTCCTTCGTATAATATCATATATATAATATAACATAATGTAATATAATATATTATAATAATAATAATAATAATAATAATAATAATAATAATAATAATAATATTAATTAAAAAAAAAAAAGAACATATTTTTACGAGCTTCTCGTAAGAAACTATTTAACAATTCTGGAACGAACGTTTTCGTACACCTTTTTTTTTTTTATCTCAAAATATATCACTAACGATACAACAAAAAGTTCAAATGATGATAATAATAATAATAATAATAATAATAATAATTATATTATTAATAATATAGACGTTTTTTGCTAATACTATCGATATGTAAATCTAGAAAATTTCTACGCTTCCGTATAAATTACAGCGACACCAAGAAACATCGTCTAATAATATTATGCCATAAAAATTAATTCATATTCATTTTTGTTCTCTCTCTCTCTCTCTCTCTCTCTCTCTCTCTCTCAACCTCCCTTTCTCTTTTTCTCATTTTCTAACACTCACTGGTTTTTCCTCACTTTCTCATTTTCTCATTTTCTCACTTTCTCACTCTCTCTCTCTCTCTCTCTCTCTCTCTCTCTCTCTCTCTATAATATATATAATCTATATATTTTTTATATATGTATAATATAAAACACTTTAATAAATCACAGTTACTTAAAAATGTCCGCTTGTCCGCTTTTCTTCTTCATTCCCTTTAAACTACCCTTCAGTTATTTTTAGCCGCGTTACTCAAATCCATCACTTTATTGTTATTACGGAAAGAAAAATAAATAAATAATAATAATAATAAAAGAAAAGAAAAGAAGATGCCCTAGTGGCACAAAATATTGACTAATATTGAATACATGTGTATTTATAATAATATTAAAAAGACATTATATAAATCTCTTTTTAATATTAAATAAACATGTATTCAATATTTGTCAATATTTCGTGCTACTAGGGTGCAAATGAAAATAAAAAAGAAAATAATACATACTTAATACAATGGTGTCTCGTACGAACATATTTCCTTTTTCTTTCTCACTTTCTCCATTTCTCCCTACTCTCTCTCTCTCTCTTTCCAAAAATGTAGATTGCTTTGTAATAATAAAAAAAAAAAACGTGTTGCTCGTATACACACACATGGATGATGGATTTTTTTAATTAGGATGAGAAAAAATAAACGGGGGTGGGGTGGGGTGGATGGGGGGTAGGAGGAGGACAAAGAAAAAGATAAAGAAGTAATAAAAAAAAAGAAATTAAAAAAAAAATACTTCAATCCCTTTCGTTTTTTTTCTTCATGATTCACAAAGAGGAGATGATCTCTAATACGAGTTTTTCCATCATTCCACTCACATTCACTTTCAAACACAACAAACGTCAATCCGTCGTCTCTTTTTGTGTCTTTTAACACTTTTGAGAGATGATGTTTGTGAAATATAAGCACGTGTCTAGTAATAGTAGTAGTAGTAGTAGTAGTAGTAGTAGTAGTAGTAGTAGTAATAGTAGTAGTAGTAGTAATAGCAATAGAAGAGTGTCATATGAATTCACGCGACTACACAATAATGACGACACAACATTAACGTCAAGAAGTTATTTCCGTATTTTTGTGATACTTTTCTTAATCTCATTCTTCAATCTTTCATTTATTAATTCTATTTAACTTTTTAAATCATTTACTCAATCAATTGCATTAATTGTAAACGATAATTAAATTACTTAATTAAAACGCACTTTACACACTTACAATGTTCGATTTGTTTTATTATTAAGATGAAAATCTTTCTCGCATTGTCATCGCACTCTCTTTTTCTTTCTATTTCTATCAATCCGTCTATCTCGAAAATACTGAAAATACTGACTCTACACTCTGAGAAACTTGTGATAACACGTGAGATACATACATATTATATCGTGACCATGATCGATATGATAAAAGATAAGAGAGAACATGCTCGCATTTAACGTCTTTTCACGTGAAAGTGTTGACTTTCCTTTATATTAAAAAAAAAAAAAAAAAAAAAAAAAAAGGGATATTATTAATTCGCCATGAAATATTTACGAGCTAGTAAGTAGCTAATTCAACTTTCTAATTTTACAACGAGCCACAATTCAATTTTAATTTAATTATAATCCTCTAATTTTCAATCTTTTTTTTTTTTTCTTTCTTACGATATTTTCACTAAATGTTCATGCGTTTATTATGAGTGTTTTGTTTCATTTAATTCAATCATTTTTTTTTTTATCACATCTTTTATTTGTCATCTTTAATTATTATCAAAGGTTAAATGATGTATTTCGCTTATTTTCATCTTACACGTAAGACTACAAAAAAAACAAAACTGGTATATATTGATAACGAAAAAAAATTAAAAATTACAAGAAAAAAAAAAGAAAGAAGAAAGAAAGAAAGAAATCTATCATGTGAAAAAGAACAAATACATTTCAACATATTTTGGTTTGATAAGGACTAGTAAAGGTTTTGATATTTACAAACGTTTAAATATACATGTGTGTATATATATATATATATATATATATATGGTATAGAACATTCGCATTCTTTGATAGACAGTACGAAGGAAGCATCTTGCACTGTAGAATTTTTAAATAAATTCTATAAATGCATTTTGTTTATTAGTGTTGGCTCTTTGAAAGTCTCGAAATCTACTGATCTTATTTTTTTCCTTTGTTTGTTTGTTTTTTTCTTTCTTTCTTTCATTTCATTTTATTTCTTAGTTCAATTTTAACAATAATAACGGCAGTTACGAACAAAATTTTGAACGAAAAAAATATCGATTTTTTTTTTCTTAACGATTATCGATACGGCGAGTAAGAGGAACGCGTAACTGTTTGTTGTCGTTTAATTACGGCAGTGTTGCGGCATGAAACTTAGACAGGGCCTGAACACGTTTACTAGAAAGAGAGGAAATCTCTGAAGTAAGAAATTATATTCTTACTACTGTTCATTGAAAAAGTATTCTTTTTGTTTGTTTATATATTATGTATATATATATATATGTATATGTATATAAATTAAGATATTAAATGTGAAAATCGGTTGTCTCGCATCAAACGATATTTAAGATCATTCTAAGATATTTATATACAAGATAAATAAATTCATTCATCAAAAGCGATAGAATAAAATTGATTTGTTCTAAATGAAAAGATATATAAACTTTCTTAAGATTATATTATTAATATCTTTTCATTGTTTTCTTTATTTTTCTTTTAATTTTACCGGTTGTTGTGTATAAGTCAATAAATAAATTTTTTTTTATCATTTTTTACACGTATAACTGTTTCTAATAATAAAGATTATCCCTCACAATGATCTTATTTGTCAAAAATACTATTTAGCGAGAAAACTCTTTAAAAAGATTTCGTTAATAAACAACAAATTAAGCGAGCCAATGGATTTAAATAAACAAAAAAGTACATGGCCGTAAAACGTACTTATTAATAATAAAAAAAAAAAAAAAAAAAAAAGAAATTTCATTTATATTCGTCACAGATTCAAAGATAGATCGGTCACATCAATAATTTTTCACTTAACCGTCGTTGAGTATAACGTAATATACTTTTCTTTTTTTTTTTTTCATTTGCTATTTTGTGACCAATCTTTACAAGTTATCGAATTTAAGCTTGAGAAAAACAAAATAATATTAAATGCAGTTGATATAGAAAATTCACTGCCATTGTTAAACTTTTCATAATCTAGAAATGCACATACACGTAAATAAACATGATATGTTAAAGAAAAACATAAACGAATTAACTAACAATTTATATAACAAATTTTCTCTCTCCTACACACATCCATCTCGTACCTAACGATGAAAATTCATAGAGGTAGTTATTTATGCCAACTCTTAAAAATCATTTTGTAAATTGATACAAAAAATCATTCCTTAAATCCTTACACTTACTAAAAACAAGATTACATATCCTCTTACAAGATAATATAATAATAATAATAATAATAATAATAATAATAATGAAGTTTCTTTTGTTGTAAACTACATACATAAGAAAATAATGCTGGCAGTGAACTTTTCCTTTACCATTTTCTTTTACAGTTGGTTCACTATAAAACGACGCTTAAATGATAAGCGATCATATGTAATTTTTTTTTAGTGCAAACATCGATCGTTAGTAATCGTGTCGCGTTTTAGCGCATTAAACTAAAGTTATTATAATATATAATAAACTTTTTATATATACAAAAATGTACATGTACACGAAGAAAATTCCGAGGCGTGTTGTTCAATATCATCGCAATAATATAATAGATTAGAAAGAGGAACGAGAATGTTCTATTTTTATCTTTTCTTTTGTTTTAGGAGAGAACGTTAACCTCGCGAGGTGAACCACAAACATTGAGGACACTGCTTGTAGAATTTGGAGTTATCTGACTGCGTGCTTCGTTTTGGGCTTGTCTTATAGCTTCCTTATACGGTCCTCGTTTTTTCTTATTGTATCGTGTCTGAAATATAAAAATAGTAGGAAAAAGGAGAAAAATAGTTCTTTGTTCTAAAAACATATAAATTCATAATCTATTTCAAAGTTACAATTGATTTGATCACGTTGGAAGGTAAATCAATACCTTGAAAGTTTCGAGGAAGGGACTCAGTTGATCGCAGGACATGAGAGAACTAGTCGAGGAACCGTACCAAGCTACGTGAGCTTGTGGTCCAGATGACGTACCATCTTCTTTACAGGAAACTGTAATACTTAGAACCTATAAAGATTTTATCCCGTTAACAGATATTAACGAACATACTTTTCTGTCAGATAAATGTTCCGTGTATATGATAACTATGCGCACGCACGCATGTCTGTGTGTAGGAGTGTATATACCTTTCCCGGCCACCAAGGGAAACCATGGATCTTTCCCCATACAACATCCCCAACATCCATCCTCCTGCCATTGGCAGTGAGACAATGAGCCACCGGTGTTGCTGCCAAACGCATGACAAGAGGGTGCGATTGAGGTGGAAAATCCGGGGCAGTTTCTCCAGCGTCCACTTCAGCCTCCTGTTCGCTGAGTTCGTCGCTACTGGCACCCGGGCTTTTACAGCCGGACGAAGCATTGCTCACAGGATAATCGCATCTTGCGTAAGCGTTCGTGTTCAACCTCTTCAAAGAAATCGAGAGTTTCTGTTTCAGGCACTGTTCCTTTATAGCCGTATACGTTTCACCATCCGGTAAAACATTCCAATTTTGTTGACATTCTGTTGTCGTTGTACCAGCAGATTCTACACAGGATTCCCGCTGTTGCTCTTCTTGTTGCAATTGTTGCTGCTGCAGCTGTTGATTCTTGTGTTTACGATCATCCTTGTGTTTCTTCTTATGTTTCACCTTATGCTTACGACGATGATAAAGTAAGGGATCATAGCTGGTATTGTATCTATGAAATAAAAATCTTTTATTACTATCTGAAAAAGATCGTAATATATATATGTACATATACTTTACTTAAACGTACCGTGGAGAACCATTACAAGGCGATCTAGCCGGCGATACAGCACCACTCAACATTTTCCTTCTTGCTTCTTTCTTAGCTTTTTTCAATGCTCTTTTCGCAGCCTTTGCACTGGCGTCTTTTACACCCTGCTTTTGTGGATCTATTTGTTCTTGCCCATCGTCTTCGGCATCTTCGCAATAGTCATAACCATTATCGAAGTTCCGTGGCAATTCCAAAGGATCTCGATCGGTTTCAGCTTGCGCATCGTCCGGATCATCGGTTTCCTGTTCGTATTCCGGGTCCTGAATCTTCGAAGGTATTTTCAATACGGTACCCTCGCCTTGAGCACCAAATGAAATTTTTATAATAGGCGTGGTCCTGGCAGTTCTCGTTGGATCCTCGAACACGGACTCGTCCCAAAGATCTTCCATGGAACCGACCGATCTTTTTTTCCTTGGAATTCGACCAATCCTCGGTCTCATAGTTGAATCAGCCGCAGCCAAAGTCTTCTTGTCCTCTTCTTCAGGTATTTTTGCACTCTCCACCGAAGAACTACTCAATCTTCTAGGTGTTGCGAAATAAGCCATCGAAGGATTACTATCGCAATCCGTAGACTCGACTCGATCCTCCGTACGTGTTAAGGTGTTCCTGCTCGAGTCATCAGCCTCGCTGCTGCTACTCCAATAGGTAGATGGTACTCCAGTTGTTAGTTCTTCCTTACCTACAAAATCAGGTCGCGATATCAATTTCTATGAGACGTTCATGAGAGATTGTATCTGGTGTATATGTCTGTGTGTGTTATATTTATTTAATTTCTTTCGAATCTATCGTAAGAGACTCTTTGAGGACTCACCAGGTCCATGCATAGCGTTGCTAATCTCGTTCGGTTGTAATCTTGAAAGTTTTGGTATCAATGAAGAAGTGCCAAGCTTCGATGAGTCAGGACCCGACGAGGATGTTGCTGGTTTCATCACAGTTGTCGTCATCGTCGCCGTTGCGGTCGTTGTCGTCGCTGTCGCCGTCATCGACGTATTCGTATTTTCCGAAAAAAATGTTTTTTGATTCTTTTGCGGTTGCTGACTACAACGTTGACGATCACTTCTTCTCGTAGGTACATTTTGTTGCTGTTGATGAGTTGGTTGCTGCTGCTGTTGCTGTGAATGTTGTTGTTGAGTCTGTTGTTGTTGTTGCTGTTGTTCCTCATCATGCTTTCGTTTTCGACTCACGTCGACGTTCTCGCTGTTCTCGTTACAAATCGATCGACATTTGCTACAAAGAACTTGACGTGGCCTCAACCGGACCGTCGGCCGTGCATTTTTATATCTAGCTGGTGGATTTATACTTCTACGTAGGTCGACCTTAGTAGGACCACTTGCGTTCTTTCTATCTTGGAAATAACTGAACCGTGCCGCGATAGTTGCCAACTTGTCGCCATCAGGATCCGGTACCGGTTCCGGAGGTTGAACACCACAAGGAAGACCCCTAGAAAATTTCAACAAACACCAAGTTTTACTTCGTACTTTTTGTTTGTTCGTTCAATCAATATATTATTCAACATCGTATTTATATATAATCAAGTAAATTATTCATGAAAAAAATAATTCTCATCACTTTCTATTCATAGCAATTAGTCATTTCTTAACATCGTTGTTAATGAAATTATCGATAGAGATAATGAAAGGGATTGTTATTTTTTTCATACAGACATTTTATTGATATTGAAAATGAAAATTATAGAAAATTTATCGATGAGAGAATATAAATAGAAATTATCGATATTGAAAATTTATAATCACGAAAGAGAGATAGATAGAGAGAGATAGGAAAAAAGAGAGATAAATTTTGTAACAAGTTTCTGTTGTACAATACAAGCGGAAGGAATTCCGTTATCGCTTAATCGCCCGTTTCGAAACTCCAATATTGATTTGTGAAATCAGGGTTGGTACCGATGAAGCATCGATAAAACCTTCGTCATTAGCTTTATCCACGAATTAACATCAATAGCAGACATGTGAGTGTGCATTTTTTAAATTAAGCTGTTTTTACACAAGCACATTCGAGTTATTTATTTAACGTTTATGTTTGTACAGGATGATTCAACAAATGAAACATTTTTGTCTCGATATTTGGATCATTAAATTCGAAAAATTTACATCGATGTACGTAATGGTTCAAAAAATCACAATTTTTTTTCCTTTTTTTTTTTTTAAATCAATGTATATCACGTGATAACAAAATTGTTTAAAGTGTCTTACAGTCATCTAATATTTTCTCGATATTGTAAATTCCAATATATCACAGAACATTTCAATTATTATATTATTTAGGATCAATTTGGTATCAATCAATAAATATACACATATGTCACTTTAAAATACTTTATTAACACTAGATATACCAAACCAGTCATTTTGACTGGTCGGACCATTTTAATTCAAAATGTCTACTTCATGTAACATTTGATTTCTGTAAATAATTAAGCGTTTTGTTATTTAAAAATGTCTATAAATCCATTCAACTATAGTAAGTATAGAGTAAATAAAGACTGGAAGTCTTAAAAAACATTTTTTTTTTATACACCAGTCATTTTGACTAGTGTGGTAGAAATAGGTATATACTGAAAATGGTGGTATATCTAGTGTTAAAATGTAGTCAAACTTTACTATGAAGCATAGAAACTTTTACTTAAAAAGTATTTTTTATGTTATTCGTTCCTAATTTTCCTTTCAAAAGCCAAAATCTGAAATCATAAATGTATTACAATAACTCTGTTAAGAAGATGGTTACTATTGTATTGTCGGTAAGGTTTCGTAATGGTGAAAAACGTCTGCGTAATGCCGAGAATCCGTGTTCGTGAGCCACAAGATTATTGGGCAACATTAGTGAACATGTACACTCCTTCCCCCTCAACACACACACACATGAACATATATAGCCATGTACATATATATATATATATATATATATATATATATATATATATATATATATATTTGTTCAGACAATTTCGTGTGTTTGTAAGTATATATATACACACATATAAATGTGTGTATGTAATAATCATGCACCTATATACAATATATAGTACATGTATATATATACATATACATATAGTAATAGAGACAACCACGACGACGTATTGATTCTAGAAAGCGAACAATGAGCGACAGCCTCAGCTCAGTGTAACCATTAATATTTCGCAGCTTTTCCTCCCCCTGTTCCGGAAATAACTTGTTCGGATAACTAACAATAGGCAAAAGAATTTAGAAAAAAATTCATCAGATATGAAAACGATATGATGCCATTTTTGAGTTTAGGATGAAATAAGGAAAGAAAAACATATGTGTAGGTATATGTATAGATCTGTGGTGTGTGTGTGTGTGTGTGTGTAACATTTCCATCAAGGTACGTCACGTTTCTAGAAAATTACCTAACTTTCCATGATATCTCGAAACACCTACGTATATATATATGTTATCTTATACATTACCCGTATCTGTCGTACACAGCTGATTGTCCCCTCTTTGTCTGTCCGTCTGTCTTTCTGTCTTATCCTCTAATATTACCAATGTTTGTGAACTTACACGGACGTTACACTTACTTGAAAAAGGATACAGAGATATTTCATGCCAAGAAATAAAAACATCCTAACAAAAATGATTAATTTTGTTTTCAAACCCTGGCGCCATGTGTCACGTAATATCATCGTTTAACAAGGAAAAGATGGCGGCGATTCTACTGCAAGTGGCCATCTTTGAATGCCACGAAACATCATGATAATCATCAAATATTAAATTAACAATATTTTATTATAACAATAAAAGACATTAAATATAAACAGTTTTGAAAAAAATGAAAATGATAAGAGTATTTTTGTACTTCCTTAACCCTTTGAGTGTTAAATACTTTTAACTACAATGTTTTGTAGAAACGCGGAATAATTTATTAATAATAAATTATATATTTAATAATTAAAGAGTTTTTCTTTTTGAATATAATTTCATTAATTAATATAAACATTACATTATTTTACATTAATATTAATGCGTTGATAGACCACACTGGTAATTTTTACCAAACGCATGTATGGCGTCCATAGCACTTTAAGGGTTAATGAAAGGTAACGGTTTTCTTTTGACAATTAACTGACCTAATCTTTAAGATAAAAGGATAATCTTTTGCACGATTGCAAGAAAAGAAACGAATGGTTTTCGTTGATTGTTTATATACATGTGGTATAATATCTTAGGTTAGAGAACGTTCTCATTTCCTAGAGCTCCAAGCAACGTTCCAGGGTTGTAAGCCAGTAGAGTATACGTACCGTTGTGAAGAGTAATTAAGGGACGCGCAATTACGGACACTACGTACCGAAATGAGTAATGAGTTTTCAAGCTGGTGTTACGGCTGAGATAGCGTGAAACGAATAGACCGCGAGAACGATATTTTTTTCCTTTCCCGACCTTTTATCCCTTTCTCTTTCTCTTTCTCGTATTTTTTTTCCAGTAAAGTAAGTAATAGGAAAAACAAGTGGAAGGATTTTGTTTTAACTGCACTGTAAAACGATCTTTTTCTTTTCTTTCATTTTTTTTTTTTTTTTTTTAAATAATTTCTTCATCCTTTTTCAAATACCAGAAAAAAAAGGTATTGGTGTTAATAAATAAAAATGAGAGAAGGGACGAAATTTTAGCAATGAAACTTTCACATTTCATAATCCAACGAAGGAAGGTTATCCGGTTAACTGGAGACTCGAATTCAAGGATATTTCTACCATTATAAAGAGGATGTTAAATACAAAAAGTAATTATAAATAGTTTTAGATACTAATTAGGATACTAAGTTAAATATAAGAAGTATTTAATCAATCTAAAAAAATTATTACCCCGTAATATATTGCCGTAATTGAGAGAATAATAAAATAGCTTTGAATACTTGTTAAATCACACGAATATAAAATATGTTTAATCAAATTACAGTATTTATTTAATTACCGTTGGTTATACAAATAATAAAGTAAACATTTTTAAAAACACTCGTAAGAGTTCACTGAATAATCGAATATAAAAATAAAAAAACAAATGTTTATCAAAACCTTCGACAATTATTAAATTATCGATCAATTTTATTTCGTAATTTTTGTAAAATAAAATTCTAAAATAAGTTATATAATTAATATATATATATATATATTAAATAATTATTACAATTAACAATAACGCGTAAACCATAACACAAATTCTGTTCATAACTATAATAATACTGAACGGGCAAGTATTTTTCTTTTTTTTTTTTCATGTCCCCTTAGCGGATTCAAATGAGTATACTCACATCCTTAACAAAAGCTTAAAAAGAATAACCTCGTGTAGGCCTATGTAAAAGAACTCGGAACTTTAGTGAAAGAGGTCGCGATTTCCGTGCAAAATCGTTTCCTTACGCTCGAACGAACTTTAAGCACGACTTAAGTCTTTCGTCGTTCCGGTAAAACGAACTTTTCTCTTTCTCTCCCTCTCTTTTCTATCTTGAAACACTCGAACAGCTGTTGTCTGTTTTCTTGTCCATTTCTGAACTACTACAAAATAACGACTTGAACGAAAAGAACAGAAATGGTCTCCTTCTGTTCGAGCAATTTCAAACTCGTGTCGCAATCATGGACGTTGCAAGAGAAAGATAGAGGGTGAGGGGATTGGGGAGGGGAGGGGGTAGGAGGCTGAAGAGGAAAAGAAGAGTTTTCTTGAGGTTCACCAGGTTTTATGTGTGACCAACACCCTGCTCTTATTTCTTCATATCTAAACGTACATATACACATATCCCCACGAAGCAAGGAACGAAGAGGACATTTTCTTCAGTCCTTCCAAGCTGAACAAAAAGAATACAACATCATCCTCCTCCTCCTCCTCCTCCTCAATGGCATTGCGAATGACGTAGTCGTTCGTTCGTAGCCAAGGAAAACGTATAAAAGCACAACCACAAGGTTGGATGTATTCACGGCAAGCTAAGACGGTGTTGGCGTTGTTGTTGGACGTACAATATTTAATTAGTTACAACGAAATTTATTGTACTTCCTTGTCTCATGAAATAACATATGACTACTACGAACTACAATAACAACATATTTCTTTTTCGAAAAGAAATTAAACGCGGCCTTGTAGGTGATTTTGCTTTTTCACATTCTTAGGTAGAAAAAAAAAAAAGAAAAAAATATCATCGAGGAATCGATACGTTTCGAAAATGAATATCATCGTGTAATCAAAAAAAAGATATACTATAAACATGATTTATACCATAAGTAATGACTTGTCACGTATATAGCAGGTGGTTTAACGACGTGGTTCAACGGTATTATCTCAATACTCAAGAAACTCATGTTATACGAGACCTTCCAACTAGTAATCGAAAGTAAGTACTTGTTCGTCTTCCTTTACTTTTTTTTCCTTTCCTTTTCTTTTTTTTTTTCTTTCTTCCTCACTTTTCTTCTTTCTATTGGG